AAAATCCACATAAAGTAATAAGTGCTGCTTCTGATTTGTAGTTCAGGAAATTCAGTGGACTGAAGGCCTGGAATGAGACCTTCTAGGATCACACTTTTAGCTTTGCATCTAGGGCAGGAATTCTGTCTCATTTGAGGTAAGTTCTTACCCAGATTCTTCGTAAACATTTCTGATGAGGAGGAAACTTAAGTGCTCTGTACAGTGACACATTCTAGTTGCAGACGTATCACATCTGATTTTTATAAATCAGTAAGAAAGACCAACAACTCAACTGATTGGCCAAAGACCTGAAAAAGCACTTCCCAGCTAAAAGGAAACACCAATGACTTACAAACATGAAAAAGCTATGATGATGGTAGAACTAAAAATGAAGCTATGTCTGTTATATGTTGATATATAATACCTACGGCTTTAAATGAACAAAAACAAGGTATAGAAAGGTATGTTTCCTTTTGTGTGTTTTCTCCTTAAAAAGAGATACATATGCTCACATATGCACACAATTTCTGGAAGGATATACAAAACTTAACAATAGTTGCCACCGGAGAGAGACATCTAATTTTAGTTGTATATCTTTTTGTATTATGAATTTCTCTTGTGGGTGTGTGTATTTTTCAAATAAAATGAATTTAAAATGAGCTAAGATCTGTCATTCTGTCCTTCTGTTGGTCACAGGTCCAACTTTTGGAATTGTGCAAAATAGGACTATTTTATCTTTAAGTTTTCTGATATTTTATAAATAAATCACTGTGGTCTTGTAAGTGGTCTTTTCCCCAGTGTAACTAAAAATACTTGTTTAAGGGGCGCCTGGGTGGCTCAGTCGGTTAAGCGTCCGACTCCGGCTCAGGTCATGATCTCACGGTCCGTGAGTTCGAGCCCCGCTCGGGCTCTGTGCTGACAGCTCAGAGCCTGGAGCCTGCTTCCGATTCTGTGTCTCCCTCTGTCTCAAAAATAAATAAACATTAAAAAAAAATTTTTTTTTAAATAAAAATACTTGTTTAACTGTAACTATTTCTTGTATGACCTGATATCCAGAATAGACTCCCTTGCTATCCAACTTGTTTATATTTATGAATATTCTTGATATGGTCAAGTCTCTCTCATACCAGGCTTCCCTTTGGAGGCTTCAGTTTTTGTGTCCTAGCCAGAGAGATTGGGTAGTTAGTGGGTTGATTTTAATAATCATGTCATTTCTTTGGATCTTCGAACTGCTGTGATGAAATCTCTTTTTTTTTTTTTTCTTCAACGTTTTATTTATTTTTGGGACAGAGAGAGACAGAGCATGAACGGGGGAGGGGCAGAGAGAGAGGGAGACATAGAATCGGAAACAGGCTCCAGGCTCTGAGCCATCAGCCCAGAGCCTGACGCGGGGCTCGAACTCACGGACCGCGAGATCGTGACCTGGCTGAAGTCGGACGCTTAACCGACTGCGCCACCCAGGCGCCCCGGAATCTCTTAATTCCTTTTCCACATGTGCCCTGTGACCTCATTGAGATTTGTCACCATGTTGACCCAGATTAATCAACATTCTTGAAACAGTTCCTCGGCAAGCTGCAAATATTTGTCCTGTACATTTTTGACAGCTTGCTTCAATATTCCTGATTTTTCTTCTGTAGTAGCTTTTCAAAAGAAGAAATAAGGCCGTTCCAGCACAATCTTATGCTAAAGAGTTAAATGCCTGTTTGCGCATGCCTCATTATTTTTCATGTCAGAGATCCTGGGGACTCTATACCTTTGTTCCATCAGCCTTCCCTTGACATGATGTTATGTTATTTACCAAAACAAGTTTCCTTGTTATTAAACGTTTGTGACTGATTCTTGCTATTAATTGTGGCCTCACAATTTCACTTCTTCAAAAAGGTCTTGTCCTCTTATTGCAGTGGCAGTCTGCTTCTATGACCACAGCGAGCTATTGTCATTATTGGAAATGTACCCTAACTCTGTTACTCTGACCAGAATTTCCAGTTCTTTCACCTCACCCTTTTACCTCACTTTCTGGTTTCCAGCACATTTACTCTTTGAAGCTTCAAGTATCTTGCCCTTACCCTGTTCCTTCAGTTTATCAGCTTCTTCCAGATTTCTCTCTTCTCTGTTATCTATGGATTACTAGGTCAGTCATTTCAGTATTCTTGGGAATGCCCTCAGTTCTCTCATCTTGCTTGCTTTCTACCTCTCTTGTCCCATCCAGCTTCCTGGAGTAACTCACCAGTTGTTTCTTCTGGTTGTTTCTAGATAGTTTAATGCTGCCAGCCAAGTAGAATAAGTGTGCTGATAAGCTCTTATATAAATTAGTAATATAGTCCACTTCCATTTCTGTTTCTTACACTTGAATTTTGTTTAAGTATTTTGCCCTGTTTCTTCTCTCAACTTTCAGCTGAGGATGTCAGAGAGAAATGCTTACTTTATTTTGAAACTTAACTGTGTCTTCACTTATCTGTATTTCTTTCTGTCTTTCTTAAAAAAAATTTTTTTTATCTTTATTTATTTTTGAGAGAGAGAGAGTGTGAGTTGGGGAGGAGCAGAGAGAGAGTGAGATACAGAATCCGAAGCAAGCTCCAGGCTCTGAGCTGTCAGCACAGAGCCCGACGTGGGGCCTGAACCAATAAACCATGAGATAATGACCTGAGCTGAAGTCAGAAGCTCAACCGACTGAGCCACCCAGGTGCCCCTCTTTTTTTTTTTTTTAATTCATTTTGGGAGAAACAGAGTGAGTGGGGGAGGGGCAGTGGCGGGGGAGGGGAGAGAGAGAATGAATGAATGAATGAATGAATGAATGAATCCCAAGCAGCACAGAGCCTGTTATGGGGCTTGAACCCATGAAACCATGAGATCATTACCCAAACCAAAACCAAGAGTGGGACACTTAACCGACTGAGCCACCCAGGTGCCCCTGTGTCCCCTTCTTTCAAGATCATTCCCTTCAATCTGTTGTAGTGATTCCATACTTTTTGTGATCTAAACACCTTGTTTGCTCACCTGCTCTATTTGTGATGAGGGAGAGAAGCAAGATACAGAATGGCTTGTATGGTATGATTGCTATACTTAAAAAGATCTGTGTTTAAGTACCACCCCGCCCCCACCGACAACCACGTACACAAAAGAAGCATTAGAGGGCTCAGTAGACTAAGGTGTTAACAGCAGTCTCTGGATGTTGGATTGTGGACTCTTCCTTTTGCTTGTTTTGTAATTTGAATTTTCTCTATTGAAATGCTTTTGCCATGAGAAAATTAAAAGGAAATTTATATTTCCCCCCGTATTTTTTGTACATGCTTATATTCTTTTTATTACAAACATCTTATTATCAGGTTCTGGGAAATGTCTTGCCATCTCTGTCAAGCAGTTCTTTGAATATCCACTGAAAAGGGAGTATAAATAGGAATGACCTTCCAAATGCTCTGACATGTCCAGGTACCTTTTATGTTCTTGAAAAAATTCCACATGATACTAATTTAAATCAAATCTAGTAGGTCATGGATTGTAAGACACAACTATCTTATGAACCACTAAGAAAGGAAAACATTCTGCCAATCAAACTATGATGTTATTGATAGTATGATGCAGAGGTGTTATATGTGGGGAAAATGTACCTCACAGAATTAATGAAATATAGTTGTTCTCAGATTGCATCTGTGAAGTGTTTAGTGGTTTTGGAATAGGAAAAAAGTGTTTAACCTTGACCTCGCTTCCAATCTCATCCTTGTATTGCCATCCTTTCCCCCTCTTCATTACTTGGTTTTTGTATGGCTATGTAGACACTGGTGAATGGACTGAATTATGATGGAGTGAAGCCTACATTTGGAGACCAGGTTTTTGTACATTTCTTTTAAGGGACATTTCAAACAGCTGATTATACTCCAGTCTTGCCATGTAGCCTGCAGAGTGGTCTGCTTAAAATCCTAATCTGGCTGTCATCATCCAAAGCCCTTTTGTAGCTTCCTTTTCCCCAGGATGCCTTGGCACACTGGTGTACACCAGACTTTTGGCTTTTGATTCCTCAGTCTCAGGACACAGTGTGGTTACCTTTTTTAGAACATAACTGTGAGCTCGGAGAGCCACATGCTGTGATGTGGAGCAGAGCGTATACCTTGTGTTCAGCAAAGGGACTGCTGAATGGACACCACAAAGGATTGAGAACCCTAATCCATTAAATGAACTGTGTTTCTCCTTATGAGAAACCTGTCTGTGGACTTGGCTACTGTCCCCTATATTGGCTACTTTCTGCCTTACACTTTATACTCCGGTAATGCTGAACTGTTTATAGTTTTCTTGCACATGTTGTTCTGCGTTTTAATCTCTTTGCCTTTGTGGGGAATCTTCCTCTGCCTGGGATCTCCCTACAAATGTATCTTCAGGAACTACTCTTCTATTAGGAAGGATTTTTTTGCTTTCCTATTCTTCTACTAAACTGAGTTATTAAACTGCATTTTCTCCCTTTGCTGTTACACTGCACGTATTTCTTTGTATTTATTCCATTATGTTGGAATTACTTTGTAACAAAATTGTATTTTGTTTTACAGGACATTAAGCTTTTTATTTATTTATTTATTTATTTTTTCAACGTTTATTTATTTTTGGGACAGAGAGAGAGCATGAACAGGGGAGGGGCAGAGAGAGAGGGAGACACAGAATCGGAAACAGGCTCCAGGCTCTGAGCCATCAGCCCAGAGCCTGACGCGGGGCTCGAACTCACGGACCGCGAGATCGTGACCTGGCTGAAGTCGGACGCTTAACTGACTGCGCCACCCAGGCGCCCCGACATTAAGCTTTTTAAGGGCAGGGACTGTGTTCACCTTTTATTTCACAGTGCTGGTATTATCTTCAATAAATATTTGCTGTACTAAATGTAATTGAAACTTTGAAGGAATGAACAGCTCATGTCAAAAACCTATAGGCTGTCGGTATCCTAGGTTTTAATAATAAAAAACTTTGATTTCAATTGTTTTTAGTATTTATGATTTCTTTTTATTCTTTTGCATGCTCTCTTGGCTGGATGGCAATAGAGAAGAAGAAAATGAGGTAAGTATAATTTAACTAGTTATTCAATGATTATTGGATTAAAAACTCAAAATTTAGCTATGGTTTTTGTTTTGTTTGGTTTTTAAGATTTTATATTTAAGTACTATCTACCCCCAGCTTGAGGCTCGAACTCAACAATCCCAAGACCAAGTGTTGTTGCATGCTCCACTGACTGACTGAGAGCCAGGTGCCTCCACTGACCTGGCTAGAGCCAGGTCCCTCTAGCTATTATTTTCAATGTGAAATGAAGAAATAGTTTTTGCTGAATTTTTGAATCTGTAGTAACTCCATTCCAAGGAGGAATGTTGTATATCTCAAGGAAATGGTTTTTAAAATGGAGCTTCAAAAGCTTTAGGCAAGGTAGAGGAAGCTGGGAGCTCTGGAGACAGCATTTACCTGTTTTTATATATTGAGCTACCATGTAAGATTTCATTTCACAAGTGCATTCTGTTTCTTAAAAAATATTCGAAGACAACTGCTTTATGATAATGCATGAGAGAACATTTTTTTTCTCACTTGATTAGTGTATAATGTTTAAAACTGATGGCAGATTTTACCATATTGAAGGAGAAAACTATTCTCTTAACCAGAGTTGATTAAAGAACATCCATTAAAAAAATATTGCGGATGACCAGTGTACCATCTTTAATTTAGACTTGAGTTTGTTTCTTATAGATTTTTCTGATGTTCTCTCTACCACCTAGGTTTTGCCTTTAACTTCTAAAGCCTACCATTTCCTTTGGTGGTTTGGCAAATGATGGAAGGAAAAATTTTCTTAGGTATATACTTTGTAGTTGTTGCTCCTAGAGTAGGGTTGGACTATAAATCAGCATGGCCTGAGTGTGTGAGGCCCGGGCAGAGACAGTGGTAGTGTGCCAGGGCAGAGTAATTTATAGCAAAGCAGAAAGATCTGGGCCTCATTTGCTTACCTCATCTATAAAACGAGATAGGAGACTGCTCTAGACCAGTGGTTTTTCACATCTGTAAAGTCCATCAGAATTGTCTCATGTGCTTGTTTTCCAAAAACAAAACCAAACAAAACATACTTTGTTGCCTTAGATCTAGTTGTGTTGCAGATCTGTATTTTATGAAGCACCTAAGTGATTCTGTGTGATGCCAGAACACCACTATAATGGCTTCTGATGTTTCTTCTCAGAACACAGGAACAAACTATTTTCCACACTGAGATGTTAATTATTGCTCTCTATCTACATGTCATTTTGTGTTCTATATTGAAGTACATGTTGGATTTTTTTTTTTTATTCTCGTTAAAAAGTCTCGTTAAAAAGTCCTCTGAGCTGTCAGCACAGAGCCTGACGCGGGGCTCGAACTCATGGACTGCGAGATCATGATCTGAGCTGAAGTCGGCCCCTTAACCGACTGAGCCACCCAGGTGCCCCAAAACAGATAAATTCTTTATGTAAGAGACAAAAATAGGAAAGTATGGGTAATTGTTGAAACTTGGGGTGGGTACTTAAGGGTTTATTATACTATTCTCTATACTTTTGTGTATGTTTCAAATTTTCTATAATGAAGTTTTATCTAGCTTAGTGAAATTCATACTGTCCTTAAAGAGGATTTTTCATTTTCCTGACATTTTAAACTGTAATGCTAGCCATTTGAAAGTAACTTTATTGTTGTAGTAACTGCTTGTTTTGTTCACTTATAGGCAAAGATTGAAAATGTGCAGAAAACAGGTTTCTTCAAAGGACCAATGTTCAAAGGTGTTGCTTCTAGTCGATTTTTACCTAAAGGCACCAAGACAAAAGTTAATTTGGAGGAACAGGGACGACAAAAGGTGTCTTTCAGCTTCAGCCTTACAAAGAAAACTTTGCAGAATAGGTTTCTGACTGCACTTGGCAATGAAAAGCAAAATGATACTCCAAACTCCCCAGCTGGACCTCTTCAAGTAGACTTGACTCCTAAAATTAAAATGGACGTTGGAGATACCTTATCTACTACAGAAGAATCTTCCCCACCAAAATCAAGGGTAGAATTGGGCAAAATTCATTTTAAGAAACACCTGCTTCATGTGACGTCCAGGCCACTGCTGACTACAGCCACAGCAGTGGTGTCTCCACCTCCTCCAGTAGTACCATTACCAGCAGTCATAGCAGAATCAACAACTGTAGATTCACCACCCTCTTCTCCACCTCCACCACCTCCACCTCCCCAGGCCACGACACTCTCACCAGCACCAGTAACAGAGCCAGTGGCCTTGCCACACACACCAATCCCAGTTATGATGACAGCACCGGTAGATGTAGCAGTTAGAACACTGAAGGAACCACCAGTTACGACTGTACCAGAATCTTCAGACGTGGACACTAAGCAGGACGCTGTATCTAATAGTTCAGAAGAACACATAACTCAGAATTTGAATGAGCAAGCAGATACTCCCTCACAAAAAGAAGATTCCCATATTGGGAAGGAAGAAGAAATTCCAGATAGTTCTAAGAGTAATCTGGGCTCTAAAAAAACAGGTTCTAAGAAGAAATCCTCACAATCCGAAGGCACCTTTCTTGCTTCAGAATCTGATGAAGATTCTGTACGGACTTCCTCAAGTCAAAGATCACACGATTTAAAATTTTCAGCAAGCATTGAAAAGGAAAGAGATTCAAAAAAGAACTTAGCACCTTTAAAAAGTGAGGATTTAGGGAAATCTTCACGATCTAAAACAGAGAGAGATGATAAATATTTTAGCTACTCAAAACTTGAAAGAGATACTCGGTATATATCTTCTCGATGTAGATCAGAGAGAGAGCGAAGGCGGAGCAGATCTCGTTCAAGATCTGACAGAGGCTCTAGAACTAGTTTATCCTATTCCCGGTCGGAACGATCCCATTATTATGACTCTGATCGTCGCTACCATCGGAGTTCCCCTTACCGAGAGAGAGCTCGCTATTCTCGGACATATACAGATAACAGAGCTCGGGAGAGTTCTGACTCAGAAGAGGAGTATAAGAAGACCTACTCAAGGCGCACCTCATCCCATTCCTTCTCTTACAGAGACCTAAGGACATCATCATCCTATTCTAAATCTGATCGGGACTGCAAAACTGAGTCCTCTTACTTAGAAATGGAGAAAAGAGGAAAGTATTCTTCAAAAGTAGAAAGAGAATCCAAAAGGACTTCAGAAAATGAAGCAATGAAAAGATGTTGTTCTCCCCCTAATGAACTGGGATTCCGACGGGGCTCATCCTATTCCAAGCATGATAACAGTGCTTCCCGTTACAAATCTGCCCTTTCAAAGTCTGTATCCAAGTCCGATAAATTTAAGAATTCTTTCTGTTGTACAGAATTAAATGAGGAAATCAGATCATCTCATTCTTTTAATTTACAGGCTCCTTGTTCAAAAGGTAGTGAATTAAGAATGATTAGTAAAATTCCTGAAAGAGAAAAGACTGGGTCTCCATCACCATCAAATCGATTAAATGATTCACCTACTTTTAAAAAGCTAGATGAATCCCTTATTTTTAAATCTGAATTTATAGGACATGATAGCCATGATAGTATTAAGGAATTAGACTCTTTATCTAAAGTGAAGAATGATCAGTTAAGAAGTTATTGTCCCATAGAATTAAATATAAATGGATCTCCTGGGGCAGAATCTGATTTGGCAACATTTTGCACTTCTAAAACTGACACTGTTTTGATGTCTTCTGATGATAGTGTGACTGGATCAGAGGTATCCCCTTTGGTCAAAGCATGCATGCTTTCATCAAATGGATTTCAGAATATTAATAGATGTAAAGAGAAAGACTCAGACAATACATGCATGCTGCGTAGTAAGTCAGGAAGCCCATTTAGAGAAACAGAACCTACAGTGTCGCCACACCAAGATAAACTCATGTCTTTGCCAGTTACGACTATAGATTATTCCAAAACTGTAATTAAAGAACCAGTCGATATGGCAGTTTCTTGTTGTAAAACCAAAGATTCAGATCTATACTGTACTTCAAATGACAACAACCCTTCTTTGCGTCATTCTGAAGCTGAAAAGATTGAGCCTTCAGTTATGAAGATTTCTTCAAATAGCTTTATGAATGTGCATTTGAAATCAAAAACAGTTATATGCGATAATAGAAATCTGACAGATCAGCACTCAAAATTTGCACGTGAAGAATATAAGCAGAGCGTTGGTAGCACCAGTTCAGCTTCTGTTAATCATTTTGATGACATATATCAACCGATAGAGAGTTCAGGCGTTGCTTCATCTCTTCAGAGTCTGCCACCAGGAGTAAAAGTGGACAGTTTAACTCTCTTACAATGTGGAGAGAACGCATCTCCAGTTTTGGATGCTGTGCTGAAGAGTAAAAGCACAGAGTTTGTAAAGCATGCAGAGAAAGAAACCATCATAGAAGTAGGTAGCGGCCTTCCTGATTCAGGAAGGGGATTTGCCTCTTGGGAAAACAGGCATAATAATGGGCTCTCTGGGAAATGTGTGCAAGAGGCTCAAGAAGAAGGGAATTCCATAGTGCTTGAGAGAAGAGGAAGGTCAGAAATCTCTTTAGATGAAGAAGGAGGGAGAGGACATGCTCATACTTCTGATGACTCAGAAGTTGTATTTTCTTCTTGTGACTTGAATTTAACCATGGAGGACAGTGATGGCATAACATATACCTTAAAATGTGACAGTAGTGGTCACGCCTCAGAGATCGTATCCACTGTCCATGAAGATTATTCTGGTTCTTCTGAAAGCTCAAGTGATGAAAGTGACTCTGAAGATACAGATTCTGATGATAGCAGTTTTCCAAGAAACCGTCTTCAGTCTGTTGTGGTAGTCCCAAAGAATTCTACTTTGCCCACGGAAGAAACCAGTCCGTGTTCTTCTCGGAGTAGTCAAAGTTACAGACACTATTCTGACCACTGGGAAGATGAGAGATTGGAGTCGAGGAGACATTCATATGAGGAAAAATTTGACAGTGTAGCAAGTAAACCCTGTTCTCAGACTGAGAAGTTCTTCCATCATAAAGGAACAGAGAAGAATCCGGAAATTTCTTTTACACACCCCAGCAGAAAACAGATAGATAACCACCTGTCTGAAATTGTTCATCCTCAGAGTGACGGGGTTGATAGTACAAGTCATACAGATGTGAAATCTGACTTTCTAGGTCATCCAAATTCCGAGGAAACAGCAAAAGCCAAAATAGCCTCTAGGCAGCAAGAAGAGCTGCCAGTTTATTCTTCTGACGATTTTGAAGACATCCCGAATAAGTCTCGGCAACAAACCATTTTCCCTAACAGGCCAGATAGTAGACTGGGAAAAACAGAGTTGAGTTTTTCTTCCTCTTGTGAGATCTCCCGAGTGGATGGCTTCCGCTCATCAGAAGAGCTCAGGAACCTAGGGTGGGAATTCTCTCAACAAGAAAAGCCTACTACCACATATCAGCAACCTGACAGCAGCTATGGAGCCTGTGGTGGGCACAAGTATCAGCAAAGTGCAGAACATTATGGTGGGACACGTAATTACTGGCAAGGTAACGGCTACTGGGATCCAAGATCAGCAGGTAGACCTCCTGGAACAGGGGTTGTGTATGATCGAATTCAAGGGCAGGTACCAGATTCCTTAACAGATGACCGTGAAGAGGAGGACAGTTGGGATCAATGTGCAGGGTCTCACTTTTCAAGCCAGTCCAGTAAATTTTTTCTATCCCTTCAGAAGGACAAGGGGTCCGTGCAGGCACCTGAAATAAGCAGCAATTCCATTAAGGACTCTTTAGCTGTGAATGAAAAGAAAGATCTTTCAAAAAACTTAGAAAAAAATGATATGAAAGATAGAGGACCTCCTAAAAAAAGGAGACCGGAATTGGAGAGTGATTCTGAAAGCGATGGTGAACTTCAGGACAGAAAGAAAGTTCGAGTGGCAGTAGAGCAGGGAGAAACGGCAGTGCCCCCAGGCTCAGCACTGGTTGGGCCTTCCTGTGTCATGGAGGATTTCAGGGACCCACAGCGATGGAAAGAATGTGCCAAGCAAGGGAAGATGCCCTGTTACTTTGATCTGATTGAAGAAAATGTTTATTTAACAGAAAGGTAAGCTTAATTAATGCTTGTCCAACAAATTTTAATGTCTTTTTGTTGAAAAAGTTAGCTTTCAACAGTTCAGAACATATTGAGGTCAATTGTATGAAATACAGTTGCATAATAGGATATAAGTTAAAAAGTCTAAAAAGCCTATTCACCTATTTAAATTTGATGGCAGAATCCTTCCCTCAGTATCCCTTCCTCCACCCCCCACAGGAAGGGGATGTCTAAAAAAAAAATTTTTTTTTTTTTGGTCTCATTATCTTTTCGGTTCTGAAAGTATGATTTAGGCCAGCCCTATTTTTAAGTTCCTTTTACATGTGAAACTGATGAAACACAAAATAAAGTCCCAGCAAAACAGTCTGCTCTTAAGAAAAAAGTAGTTGTGCTGGATTTTTTTCCTTTTGAAAAATGTTCATAATGAAGTGTCTTTGAAGGATGCTTTATAAAGCGGATGCTTTATAAAGCGGGAACCACATTAGAACATCATTTTCTGTTCATTGTTTTTTAGTCTGTTGCTAATTGATTACATTTGGCAATAGCATAACCAGTATTTTAGAAATAAGTGGTATAGTGGTTTCCTAAAGACCCCTAACCTGAAACAAGGGGATAATGAGAATAGGAGTAATGGAAGACAGACTCCTTCAAAGCAGAGCTGCTCAGTCTGCTTTCTTTCACCCTTCCTCGACAGTTTCTTCATTTTTCTAGTATGAATATATGTGAAATATGCCTTTTTGAAAAAAATCTGTCTTACATCCATTTTCCTTTTGGAAATTTCTCCTCTATTTGAAAATCTGCTTAACCATCATCCCTTTAAGCGTTAAAAATTTTTTTGTTTAATGAAATTTTTTCACTGGTTAAGGTAAAATTAGGTCTCATGAGAAGTTTTTCATATTTTAACAAAAACCTTTTTATGATATAGAGAGCCTCTTCTATCTAGTAAATTAGGTTTAAATTTAAAATATTGAATCTTTTAAGTAGTAGTTTTTAGGAATTGTGTGAGTACATTGATGCAGCTTCCAGGGTCTTTGTAAAAGAATAGAAGTAAAACTAATCAACCCAACCCTCTGGGATTTACTCAGCACTGAGATCCAGATAAATCTACCACCTGCATATATGCATTATAGATCTGGTTTGGTGGAGGGGGCACCTGGGTGGTTCAGCGGTTAAGTGTCCGACTTCAGCTCAGGTCATGATCTCACAGTTTGTGAGTTTGAGCCCCACATTGGGGTCAGTGCTGACAGCTCAGAACCTGGAGCCAGCTTCAGATTCTGTGTCTCCCTGTGTCTCTGCCTTCCCCCGCTTGTGCTCTGTCTCTCTCAAAAATAAAAATAAACATTAAAAAAAAAGATCTAGTTGGTGGAAACATTGGAGAGCCTTTTTAGAGTGGGAACATTTTTAAAGAGCCTATTGTTATATGCTGGGCCTTTCGGAGCCACCAAGAAAACTAATTATTGAAAAATAGTATTGAAGATGGTGAAAAAATTGTTCTTAGGTCTAATGAAAATAGGGTTACCTGAATCTGTGGCCATGAGTCCTTATCTGACCTTATGGAGCAATACAAAATAAAGCTACTGCTGATTCTTCAAAATTACAATTCTTAAAGTACTTGTAAACAGATATTTTGTCTTCAGTCCTGATTTCTTCAGGCTGAGAATATTCATATACTCATTAATGAATTATATCTTGAAACAGCTGAGTCATTCTTGTTTTACTCATAGGTAGTTGAAACCATCAAGACACTCTTCAGGTACTTTATAAACATTGAACATATGTTGAAGATGAAAGCAGATTAGTTAGGAGATTAAGACAGCCACATAGAACAGCGGTGCTCTTCACTGTCTGATAGTTGGAGAGTAAGTCAGACTGCCCTAATCTTAAGGAGATCTTCTTCATTTCTGATTTTTTTTTAACAAAAGAAAGTTCAACACAAAGGCCAGGAAATAATCACATTTTCACTTTTTCTTTGCAAACTCTGGCATAGGTATTTATGAACCTAACCCATTTTGAACAGTTTCCCCTTTTACTCCCAAATCAGTTAGTCGGTTGGGAAAGTTTAGTCCTCTGATTATTCTGTAATACCTGATTATTCTGTAATACAGTTCTATAAATTATACTTCATTCTTTTCTTATTCAGTTTTCTTTTAAACAAGATTTTTAGAAATACAGTGTTACTGAAAGATTCTCTCTGAAAGATTGAGTTAAACTCTTAATTAAAAATTACCTATTTTTAAATTTATTTTTTTTAGCAACTCCTTTTCTTCCTCTGCCTTTCTTTCTTTGCTGTGTCTCAACCATTATTTGTCCATCCAGGAGGACTAATTCTTATATGTTTTGTTTGTTTACTTTGAGAGAGTGAGAGAGTAGGGGAGGGGAGACAGGGAGAGAGAGAGAATCCCAAGCAGGCTCTGTGTTGATCGGGGCTCAATCTCATGACTGTGAGATCATAACCTGAGTCAAAATCAAGAGTTGGATGCTTAAGGGGCGCCTGGGTGGCTCAGTCGGTTAAGTGTCCGACTTTGGCTCAGGTCATGATCTCGCGGTCCGTGGGTTCGAGCCCCACGTCTGGCTCTGTGCTGACCGCTCAGAGCCTGGAGCCTGTTTTAGATTCTGTGTCTCCCTCTTTCTCTGACCCTCTCCTGTTCATGCTCTCTCTCTCTCTCTCTCTCTCTGTCTCAAAAATAAGTAAAATGTTAAAAAAAAAAAAAAGAGTTGGATGCTTAACTGAGCCACCCAGGTACCCCCAGGAGGACTCATTCTTAAACTTCACTTTCATCAGCTGTGTTACTTTCTGATCCTCATGAGTTTTCCTGTGTTTTATTTTTCCTGAGCCCAGTAGGACAGTTGACCCTTGAAATTGCTCAGAATTTGAGGTTTAATTGACTTGGACTGAGAAATGAGGGCTCAGTCCAAAATGATAGACTTGAACTCTTATCTTCCCACTTGCCAGGGCTCAGGTTGCCTCTTGTTTGTGTAACATAATTCTTAGTGTTTTCAGTTTCACAATTGCTAGTGATTAGATGTTTTCTTTTCTTCCTTTTGAATGTTTAACTTAACCAGAATCATTAAATATGAAACTAATGAGATTTAGCACATATTTGATTGTGTACATTGTATCATTACCAGGAGATTTCTTAAACCAATTCTTATAAAATTTTATCTAATAGAAAGAAGAATAAATCACATCGGGATATTAAGCGAATGCAGTGTGAGTGTGCACCTCTTTCTAAAGATGAAAGAGCGCAAGGTGAAATAGCATGTGGGGAAGATTGTCTTAATCGACTCCTCATGATTGAATGGTAAGTAAATTGAAATGCTCTGATTTTGCTCATTCTGTTAAATGTCCCAAAATATTAATTAGTAATGAATAAAATTTAACCTTTCTTCTTTTACCTAGTATTATTTATAAGCAATAAAATCTCCAATGTATAATAGCATTTATAAGGAGACAAATTTTCCTTGCATTATTCATTATAGTATACATTTTAAGTGCTCTGTAAAGTAGCCCTTAACCTTTTGTTTCTTATGTTTGTCCTGAGAGGCAAATGTTGGTCTTTTTTAGCTTTTACTATCAAATAAGATAAAATCCTAGCATTTCAAAAGGGTATAAAGTAAAATGTCTTCCACTTCCAAACCTCAGTCTCTCTGTTTGTAGTCTTTTCAGATAATTTTTATGCCTATACCAAAATATTTCCTCATTTTATGTATAGAAATGAAATCTTTCTATATGTACTTTTTTGAGTTTTATTCCCTCACCTTGGCCCAAACACACATGTTCTCACACATTCTCACACACTCTCATACACTCTTAATTAAATAAATTTTGGAGACCTGTTCAGTGCTACACGTGCAGACTTAGCTAAATCTTTCCCTTGGCTGCTTTATATAGTCTATTTATAGTTAACTCATAATTATTAATTTTCAAAGATAGATATTTGCTTCTGTATTTTTCTTTTTTTAAAAAATTTTTTTGAATGTTTATTTTTGAGAGAGAGAGAGAGAGAGAACAGGAGAGGGGCAGAGAGAGAGGGAGACACAGAATCCGGAGCAGGTTCCAGGCTCTGAGCTGTCAGCACAGAGCCTGATGCGGGGCTTGAACTCGTGAACTGTGAGATCATGACCTGAGCCAAAGTTGGACACTTAACTGACTGAGCCACCCAGGTGCCCCTGCTTTTGCATTTTTCTTATAAACGGTAAACATCTTTACATTGAAAATTGTGTGATTAAGATTTTTTACCAATTTTATGAAAAATTTGTTTCCTTAATTTTTTTTAATGTTTATTTGTTTTGAGAGAGAGCGAGCGAGCATGCGAGTCGGGGGAGGGGCAGAGAGAGGGAAAGAGAGAATCCCAAACAGGCTCTGAGCTATCAGTGTGTAGAGCCTGACACAGGGCTCAATCCCACGAACCGTGAGGTCATGATCTGAGTCCAACCCAGGAGTTGGGCGCTTAACCAACTGAGCCATCCAGGTGCCCCAGTATCCTTATTTTTTAACATGGAAAGAATATTAAGGTGATTTATAGTGTAGATACTTTGTTTTCAGTGTTGATGAATGGTTTTCTTTCTTTTTTTTTTTCTTTTTATTTTTTGGATGTGTTGGTTTTTTTTTAATAGAAACCACATCACTTCATTTGTTACAGCAGTAATGAGGCAATAATTCAAGAGGGTCCCAGAAAGCTTTTTCATCCACAAAATAACAGAAAGAAAAAGCACCTTCACCACTCACGCTCTTGGTTAGCTTTTTCTTTTGATCTCTGTTCCCCTACCCACAATAGTATGTTGCTTCCAGAATGGGATTCTGCCTTCGAATGTTGTATGAGTCGGGAGGCTAGTCTATCCGCTTCCCTTAAGACCGAATGGAAGTTCCTAACTTAGCTGAGAAACCTGGACAAGTCTTCTTTGATTTCAGCCTCATCCCAAGGCCCATGAATGTTTTCTTTAAAAAGCTGCAGGTGAATGAGGTAGAAAGGGCAGAGACAAGAGATGGAAACCAGCAGAAGGGCAAAGAGGATGGCTCCCACAGCACTAATGGACAGCAGGCCTCCCAAGGCTGAAAATGCAAAAAGCAGTGTGACACCCATGTAGCTACGGGGAGTACATGCCTTCAGTTTCTTCTGCAACATGGGCCACAGGGCAAAAATCTGGATGGCAAAAGTCAGCATGATGAAGGCATGCAGGGAACGGGGCAGGCATGAGGCAAGGCAGACAGAAGCTAAGGTGGCCATGTTCAAGGACAGTGTGCTGGATACAATGGCAGCATTGGCACCATAGTCAAAGAAAATGAGGCAGCCTAAAAGCATGAAGACTGACATGGCATAGATGGTGTCAGTGCTGACAGACTCTGTCAGGGTCTTCAGCACTGGGGAAGAACCGTAGGTGAAAGTAATGAAAATCAGGGCACTCTTCAAGTCAGCCCACCGGGTCTGCCCCCTCTTCTTCCGTCCTTCACCTCTGTCAATGAGATCAAACAAAACATAGCCAATCAGTGAAGAAGCCAGGCCAGTCCCAGAGAGCCATTGGGGGGCCAGAAGGCCCTCATCCATATACCACCAGATGACCACAAACACACAGACACTGCACACTGCTGTATCACCACGTTCGACTCGAAGACCACAGCCCGGTACTGGTATTTCCGGGCGTAGATGTTTTTCCGGAGCTCTTCCAGGAAACGCCGGTCCATGTGGTTATCGGGAAATGGCTATCGCTCGTACAAGACCTGCCACTTGGCCTGCTTAGTGTCAGCTACAGGCTGGGTCCCCATTACCCTCTCCCTCAAACTCAGGCCAGCTCAGTCTCCCTCGCAGAAGTCCACGTGGTTCTTGTTCCTTACAAAGTTCTGAAATAAGACCTCTCTGGAAATCCCATGCTGGGTGGTGGCTGATACTGCACTGACCTTCCCTTGCTTTCAAAGGCAGCAACCCAGGCTAGGCCTGCAACAGATGAGTTTGTTCTCTGAGGCAGGACAGTACGGCCAAGTTCCTGCCCGCAGTTCCTCAGGCTGCGTGGCCGGGAAGGGCGGCCGCCCGCCTCCTTCCCCATCCGGGGCGCCAGGGGTTGCTGAACTGTTTTCTTTCAAGGCCCAGATTTTGGTTTTGCTCATGTTCAAGTATTATGAGAACAAAACCTATACCTCAGAAAATTAAAGAGAAAGCATTTTTGGCAATTCCTTTATCTAAATTGAAAGTAGAGGGGCGCCTGGGTGGCGCAGTCGGTTAAGCGTCCGACTTCAGCCAGGTCACGATCTCGCGGTCCGTGAGTTCGAGCCCCGCGTCGGGCTCTGGGCTGATGGCTCAGAGCCTGGAGCCTGTTTCCGATTCTGTGTCTCCCTCTCTCTCTGCCCCTCCCCTGTTCATGCTCCGTCTCTCTCTGTCCCAAAAATAAATAAACGTTGAAAAAAAAAATTAAAAAAGAAAAAAAAAGAAAGTAGAGATGACATTACGCATGTAAGAAGAGGAGACGTGAGACTTAGCCCTATTCTCCTAAGTTGACAGTGTAGCTCTGGTCTCTGCGTTCTTCTGACTTTCCTGCCAGCCTTGCTAAAGAGATAGGAAGTATAGGATATCTTTCTTCTCATGTTTCTCACACTTAAACTTCTAGTAGTTGTCAGGATTAGGTTCAAATTTAGCCTGGTATGCAGAGCTCTTCATCGTATATCAACAACCTGCCTTTCCATCTTCCAGCAATCCACCTTTCTTGTTAGTCATCCTCAGCTGTTTTATTCTCCTTTCCTCAGGTGGGCCTTGTTTCCTATTTCTGCACATGGGCAAGCTCTGTGGTATCTCATTTGTTTGTTTGTTTGTTTGTTAATCCACATCCTATCTGTCATTAGAGATTCGGCTTTGAAGAATTGATTTTCTCTGTTTCTCATTTCAGTTCTTCTCGGTGTCCGAATGGGGATTATTGTTCCAATAGACGGTTTCAGAGAAAACAGCATGCAGATGTGGAAGTCATACTCACAGAAAAGAAAGGCTGGGGCTTGAGAGCTGCGAAAGACCTTCCTTCGTAAGTTATGTTGTAATCATCTTTCATTTCCTTTTTGTGTTGTTGAAGTTGGTTAGCTACTTTGTAGGAAGGAAAATAACGTGTCTATTATACTGAAGTTTAATAATGTTTATTGTGTAGAATGACCACCTGGTAACTAGTTTAAAAAATTTTTTTTTCCCATTTCTTTTAGGAAATTAAAAAAAGAAAAAAAAAAAACCTCCTCTGTCTCTGTATATGAAGAGCATTTTGTCATTTGTGACATTTGGACCAGATGGGTCCTTCTTTGTATGACAGTTACTTTTCCTTTAATTCCAAGCAGTTACCAGTGTTTGCTGTAGACCCCCAGAATCACTATGAAACTGTAAGGATTTGGGACAGAATTGATTAGTTAGTTTATATAAAACTGAGTTGGAGAGGGGGTGCCTGGGTGGCTCAGTCGATTGTCTGACTCTTGATTTTGGCTCAGGTCATGATCCCAGCGTCGTGGGATTGAGCCCTGTATTGGGCTCTGTACTGAGTGTGGAGCCTGGTTGGGAGTCTCTCTCTCCTTCTCTTCCTCTCCCCTCCTTGTGCTCTCTTTTTCTCTCTCTCTAAAATTAAAAAATAATAATAATTAAATAGATAAACCTTGGAGTAAGAGGGGAAGAGAGTATCTGAGATGATTGAGGTAGGGATTAAAAACAATTAATAAACATTTATTGAATGAGTAAATGTTGCTTTCTACCTAATTCCTGTAACTTTTTTGTACATAATGCAATAAAAGGTTCACTTTATTTTCTACCATATTTAGTGTTTCCTTTAAACAGTAAGTTTTTTATGGAAAGCATATTTAAGTATCATGAAAGATGAGTACCTTTTTCTTTAAATATATACAGATTACATGTGTTTATGATTGAAAAAGTCTTTTAAATATGTAAAAGGAGTAAAGGAAGAAAATAAAACTGTTTCTTAAAGCTTTCTTAAGCTCCTCACGAAGAACCCTGCTTTGGTAAAATACCCTAGACTGGATATTTTCAGGTTTCCCATATTTTCCTACTCCTTTAATTTCCATATGCTAATGGTAGTGCTGGTTTCATAAATTTTTAGTTCGAAACTGTGTAGATGTTCACGAATAGAGTATTCATTCCCGTTGAACAGGGACATTGTCCGATATACATAGAATTAGGAGTTCTTTGGAACAAATCTGCTAGTTAGTGTTAAATATCATGACATTCTCTCTGTATATTGTACCTGTTTCTTCTCTACTGAAGATACTAAATAACTGAGGAAAGACTGGTCAGGGGTGGAAGGTAACTTGAAAGAAGCCAAGGAGAGAGATTAATCATAATTACTGATAAATGCTAGAAAAAACTCACAGAGAATGCAGTCAGAGAAAAGATGGGTTTATAATTTTTTTTAAGTTTATTTAAGAGCGAGAACGAGCAGAGAGAAGGGGAGAGAACAGAATCCCAAGCAGGCTCTGCACTGCCAGTGTGGAACCTGATGTTGGGCTTGAACTCACAAACCTGTGAGATCGTGACTTGGGCTGAAATCAAGAGTTGGATGCTTAACTAACTGAGCCATCCACGTGCCTCAGGAGAAAAGATCTGCTTGACCTTTGACATCATTAGAGGTCTTTGAATAAAGGCAGTAGAAGGGCTGCTGTATTTAAATTATCTTTTTTCTTAGAACATAAAGCCTCTAATATTTCAGTGCCTCCTGATTTCTTCAGAGCTGTTTCTCAGCTGTGAATCACTGTTTTCATGGCATTGTAAACCAGATTTGAGTGTTTGTTTTAATGTCTAGTTAGAGCAAGGATACACATTTTGATAGTATGTATAAACATAAAAGCATCTTGGAATCAACATTTTTTTTTTAATTTTTTTTTTTCAACGTTTATTTACTTTTGGGACAGAGAGAGACAGAGCATGAACGGGGGAGGGGCAGAGAGAGAGGGAGACACAGAATCGGAAACAGGCTCCAGGCTCTGAGCCATCAGCCCAGAGCCTGACGCGGGGCTCGAACTCACGGACCACGAGATCGTGACCTGGCTGAAGTCGGACGCTTAACCGACTGTGCCCCCCAGGCGCCCCGGAATCAACATTTTTAAAAAAGTATTAGGAAGGAGAAAACCTCAGTTAGATGTTAGGTACTTTACATATATTTTAATTATATCTTGTATAAGACCGTATTTATTCTTTTCAATATTTCCTTAAATCTATTTTTTTGCATAGATATATGTGTTTTCCATACAGCTCCTAGGCAGGAAGTGCTATTGTTTCCCTTTTGTTTTGCCAGGAACACCTTTGTCCTGGAATATTGTGGAGAGGTACTTGATCATAAAGAGTTTAAAGCCCGGGTAAAGGAGTATGCACGAAACAAAAACATCCACTACTATTTCATGGCCCTGAAGAATGATGAGGTGAGCGGCACAAATGTATTTGCTTTGAAACAGATCTGGAAATTGTTGAGTTTGGAAGGGTCACTGATACAGACTGATCTTGAAAATAAATTAAGTGACAAAAAAGAGGGACAGAATAGTATATATAGCTTTTCTTTACAAAAAGGAGAGAGGGAGATGTTTTTGTTTACAAAAAGGGAGAGGGAGATGTTTACATATACATGTAAATGTAAACCTGTGAGCTTCATATTACAACTCTTAAAAATTACTGATACCCCAGAAGAGTTTTTTTAATGTGGGTTATATTTGTCAATACTTACATAAAAATTAAAGCTGAAAAATTGAAAAATATTTGTTAAACCACTTTAAAGTAACAAGTCAATTATATGTTGACATAAATAACATGTTTTTATGAAAATAATTTTCAACATATTTTTGTTTTAGTGAGGAGTGCAACTGTTTTACATTTTTACAAATCTCTTTAATGTCTGGTGTGATAAATTTTAGCTAGAGTCTTATATCTGTCTCTACATTCAGTCCTGGAAAACCTATTTCTAGATCCTACCCCAGACTTGCTGAATCTAGATCCTACCCCAGACTTGCTGAACTCTGGTGGTGGGTCCAGCAGGAGTTTTAACATGCTTTCCAGGGAATTCAGATACACATTCAAGTTGGAGAGATCCTGCACTGTGATGTAACATGCACTTTAAAATGGAGTTTTATACACATGAAGTGAGATTGGAATATAAGAGGATGTTAGAAGTAGCTAAAAGTAAATGGAAGAGACATTGATAGATATGGAGATCGTTTTGCCTGTAAGATGTTTATAGTTAGCAGATGTCCCAGAGGAAGTAGTTAGGTATTTGTCACTTGGATGTGTCTGTATGTGAAAGAGGAGGCGGGGTTGGGCATGCAGATCTTACATTTGCCTAATGCCTTTCCTTTGCAAAATATATGTATATTTTAGGTCTCATTTTTATCTCTTAAATGATCCTTTTCCCTAGATAATAGATGCCACTCAGAAAGGAAACTGCTCTCGTTTCATGAATCACAGCTGTGAACCAAACTGTGAGACTCAAAAAGTAAGTTGAGGTAGATTTAGAAGTTTGGATCTTTGTTCAAGATTGATGTTGTATTAATTTTAGAATCCATATCAAGGCTTCCCATGGATTTTATTTTTAAATCATTTTAATTGTTTTTTCCTATTGTTAAAAATCTTATTTTGAATTAAGTTCAGATTTATAAAATAATAGTGCAGAAACAGTACAGAGTTCCATATATCATCCTTCACCTAGCTTCCTCAAAGGTTCACATTGTAAATAGCCATTATACAGTTATCCAATCCAGGAAATACTGTTAACTATTAACTAATCTAAAGTCTTTATTCATATTTTGCCATCTGTCATTTTTCTGGACTAGGATCCAATCCAGGAACTCCCATTGCATTTAATTGTCACCTCTCTTTGCCCATAAGTTTTAACTATTATTTCAAAGGTGCCAAAATACAAAACTAAAATTGAATTCTGATGAAGTCCAGTGTGTACTATTCAGATTTTTATCAGCTCTTAATCCAGGTGCCAAATTTGGCTGCTTTAATAATGTAAGGGGGGGCTGAATGGCCACAGATAAGAGAGATCATATATCATGTACATGGAGTGACACTGCTTCTCCTCAACAAGGCCAGACTCCGAGTCATGCTCCTCTCTTTGTCCCTGTGCCTGGCACATAGTTGATGCTTGATAAATTCATTTATTGAATTTGGTAAAACATTTTGAGATAATTTTAGTACTGTCTCTAATTTGTGTTTTGATCTTAGATTAAAAAAAAAAATACACACACACACAAACGTTAGAACATTGGTTCTTTCTTAGGCTAAGAAAGCTATGGACCCACACCCTAGAAAAGTAGTATCAATGGTTCCCTCTCATAATAGTGCTTTCGGGGCGCCTGGGTGACTCAGTCGGTTAAGCGGCCGACTTCGGCTCAGGTCATGATCTCGCGGTCTGTGAGTTCGAGCCCCGCGTCGGGCTCTGTGCTGACAGCTCAGAGCCTGGAGCCTGTTTCAGATTCTGTGTCTCCCTCTCTCTCTGACCCTCCCCCGTTCATGCTCTTGTCTCTCTCTGTCTCAAAAAATAAGTAAACGCTAAAAAAAAAAATAATTAATTAATTAATTAATTAAATCGTGCTTTCAACTCCTGGATATTTTTTTTTGTCCTTTTGACCGGTATACTAATAGATCTTAGATACGGCTCTTCTGGGAGCCAAGCCATATAACGAATAGGGGAACACACTCCATGATCACTTTATGTAAGTTCTGTTCTAGTTTTGTCTGCATCTGGTGGCCATGTGTCTAGCTGTGAGATTTCCACTTGTACTGTGTCCCTTCATCTCTTTAAGTCTGGGGATTTTCATCAGTAATGTGCTCAAAAGATCTGAACAGGAGCTCTGCAGTCGAGTTACGTCTTACATGTTCTGGAACCACAAGTTCTAACCCCTGTGTATTTACTCCCATTTTAAATCTTGAGTTTTATGCAGTTGTTGTCATGCTTTCTTTCCCTTTCCCTATACTCAGTCATAGGACCATTGCTTTATGAAATTAAACATTTGGCATCATTCTTTCCCTGGTTCCATGCCTCACCTTATCTTGGAATATAGTTACTTTTAACATAATAATATGAATTTGCCAGTAACAGTCAATGACACCAAGCATTCTCTATCTGCTTATTTTTAGTACAAGTGAATATTTACTGTGTGGAAATGTGTATTAAGACAGGTATAAGTAGCAGTTACTTTTATTAGAGACAAATTATAGGTGATACTCAACCTGGTAGTTTATTAAATAAGATTAACACTTAAATACGGTAGTTTACTTCAAGAAAAAAGTTTCCTATTTGCTATTTGGTAAAGTCTTCTTAATTGTCAAAAGAGGCTCATGCATTATTAAGGCAAATGATCTTTAAAGAAAAACACACAGATTAATCGGTTACAAATTTCTTTTCTTTTAAAAACAACTTCTCAGTGGACTGTGAACGGACAACTGAGGGTCGGGTTTTTTACCACCAAATTAGTTCCTTCAGGCTCGGAGTTAACATTTGACTATCAGTTCCAAAGATATGGGTGAGTATTGTTTTTATTCTGTTTCGCTGCTTCTGGTGGGGAAATGGACTGTTCAGATACAGAGATATAAAACTTTGATATGAATTACTAAGAAGTTATATGGGGATGCCTGGGTGGCTCAGTTGGTTAAGCATCTGACTTCGGCTCAGGTCATGATCTCACAGTTTGTGAGTTTGAGCCCACACCGGGCTCTGTGCTGACAGCTCAGAGCCTAGAGTCTGCTTCGGATTCTGTGTCTCCCTCTCTCTCTGCCCCTCCCCCACTCAGGCTCTGTCTCAAAAATGAATAAAGGTTAAAAAAAAAAAAGTTATATGTACCACCAGTTCTTTACTTTTTCAGTTTTCTGTGTTTTTTCTTACTGTGACATTTCCAGCCATTAAAGGATTTGTACAGGAACTACATAATTTTCTTCTGAATTTCATGCTGTCTTATTTATATATTATGTTTCTTAAGTAATTAGAAAACCCTTTAAATTTTGGAAATGTCTACAGTGTGTGTATAAGTGTGTATTTATCTGTCAGTTATCAACTCATGACTAATCTTTTCTCATCTGTACCACATTGTACTATGAAAAATAATTTACGTTCTTTTGAACCAAAATAATAACTGATACAATAACAGTGAATACCCCTAGCATCTATATTGTGGTTTCACAGAATCCCACTAAAAGGAACAGGGTTCCTTGGAGAAGTGTCTGATTTCAAGTTAAGACAGGAATTAGACAAGGGGATTTTGGTTTATTTTGTCATACCAGAAAACCAGTTATGAAAGATTAGGAGATTCTTGTCAAAGGGTCCCAGGAGCTAGCTTTAATAGGCTCTCAAAACAGTGGGAGAAGGGGGCGCCTGGGTGGCGCAGTTGGTTAGGCGTCCCGACTTCAGCCAGGTCACGATCTCGCGGTCCGGGAGTTCGAGCCCCGCGTCAGGCTCTGGGCTGATGGCTCAGAGCCTGGAGCCTGTTTCCAATTCTGTGTCTCCCTCTCTCTCTGCCCCTCCCCCGTTCATGCTCTGTCTCTCTCTGTCCCCCCCCCCCAAAAAAAACAACAAAAAAAAAAGTGGGAGAAGGGTGCCTGGGTGGCTCAGTCGGTTGACTTTGGCTCAGGTCACGATCTTGTGGTTTGTGAGTTCGAGCCCCACAAGGGGCTCCCTGCTGTCAGCGTTGAGCCTGCTTTGAGTCCTCTGTCCCCTTCTCTCTCTTCCCCTTCCCTGCTCGTGCTGTTTCTCTCTCAAAAATAAGTAAACATTAACAAAAAACAACAAGAGTGGGAGAGTTTTCATTAACACTTAAGCATTGAAAGGATAATAACTGCAGTGGTTTGAAACGTATGATGTAAAAACCATGAGATTTAATGATACTTTAAAAATAAAACTGCATTAGTCATAATAGAAGGGAACCAATTCATGATTTTTATAAAGTAGCTTAAAAGTCAGAAAAGGGGGGAGAAAAATCAAACACTTATCCTGCTTTCCCCAAGTGAATTCTACTTCAGGTTAAACCAAATAGTTGATGAGAGGAAGTTCTTCTTTTGGAGGTTCTTTTGTGCTAATGAATGAAGTAGTAACGGTATCACCATGTTGCATAACCTCGTGAACTAATGCATCAAGGCAGTGACCTAGCGTTCCGGGGATGAGTGCAGACCAGGTTCTGTGTACAGCTCCATGCTTTCTCCCTCTTACTTTTGCACTGTCCTATTTGAAGGAAGGAAAACTGCAGGTGCTGTTTGTGATTCCCTGCTCTATTTATTGAATAATTTATTTTTATGCCTTTGATTGCTACCATCATAAATTAAATCTATCAGTTTCCTTTTGGTATAGTTCTTCTTGCTTTTCTCAGGTAGTTGTGATCGCAGAATAAATAAATGGCCATGGTGGTTTGTACCCAGGCCTGTAGAGTTAGCCCTGTGTTGTTTCTACCACTTTTCCTGAACTCCACAATTATATTTACTTATTACTAAATTTCTTATTAGAGTCTCATCCTTAAGTGGTGATAACTTTTAATAATCATGTGTTTCCTTTTAAGTATCCTGTACATATTGAATTTCGTATCTGTGTACATCTATTTGTAAGAATATATTTGTTGTTCTTGGTGCCAGTTAAATATTTACATATGAGAGATGTTGAACTATTTAAGCAGTTTTGTTCTTAGCTCAATATATATATGATCTCTTATTTTTATACATTTTACACATGTCTACCTTTATATCTCTTTATGCACATATAAGTATAAAAATCCTTAATTTTTATACATGAGTAGGTACTCATAAAATGGAGAAATTACTCGTTAACTTCTTGGCTAATTTTGTCTAGCTAATAAAGGAGGATTAGAAAAAGAATATTTTTTTAAGAGCAGTTTTCAGGCATTTCCATTAAATGGTATTAGGTTTGTTGGAGTCTTTTAAAATAATTGTTTTTAGGCTGAATTGACTTCTTTCTTGTATGTGATTGTTAGGTTGTTGACATTTTTATGTGGTGTACTTTCACGTAACTGACATCTTTCCTATGTTCCTTGAACAGAAAAGAAGCTCAGAAATGTTTCTGTGGGTCAGCTAATTGCCGAGGTTACCTGGGAGGAGAGAATAGAGTCAGTATCAGAGCAGCAGGAGGAAAAATGAAGAAGGAACGATCTCGTAAGAAGGATTCAGTAAGTGTTTCTTTCATCCCTTTTTTTTCAACTTTTACCATATACCTTTAAAGGAGGGAGGTAGCTTTTCTGATTAAAATTTGAAAAGCCTTGGGGCGCCTGGGTGGCGCAGTCGGTTAAGCATTAAGCATCCGACTTCAGCCAGGTCACGATCTTGCGGTCCGTGAGTTCGAGCCCCGTGTCAGGCTCTGGGCTGATGGCTCAGAGCCTGGAGCCTGTTTCCGATTCTGTGTCTCCCTCTCTCTCTGCCCCTCCCCCGTTCATGCTCTGTCTCTCTCTGTCCCAAAAATAAATAAACGTTGGAAAAAAAAAATTAAAAAAAAAAATTTGAAAAGCCAAACAACAGAGAAATTCAGAATCAGAGGAGACCATTAGAGAAAGAAGTATGGTTGCTTTTTTTTTTTTTTTAATGTTTATTTTTGAGAGAGAGAGTGTGCAAGCAAGTACAAGCATGAGAGGGGCAGAGAGAGAGGGAGAGAATCCCAAGCAGGTTCCGTGCTGTCAGCGCAGAGCTTGACAAAGGGCTTCAGCCCTATGAACTGTGAGACCATGACCTGAGCCGAAATCAAGAGTTGGATGTTTAACCCACTGAACCACCCAGGTGGCCCTGGTTGCTGTTTTTATTTCAGGTTCATAGAGATTAGAATTAGGTGTTGCTAAGAACTACTGAAGTCATTGAAAACAATGGACTGATAGTTTTTTTGGAGCCTGTAAAACTCCTAATCCTACGTACAAATAAGATGTTTATCTATTAATTTACTTAAGTCTGATCTACATTCCTAGTCTTTTAATGTTGGTTTGTTTTTTGTTTGGAACTCTTAAAGTTTGCACATGTTCTTACAATCTCTGAAAACCCTCTTTGGAGGGGTGTAAGGTGAGTTTTGAGAGGTAATAGGCAACCCAGGAGTGAAAATGAAATAGTGTAAATGGTCTTTTTTAAAAATGGTGATTGAGGGGTGCCTGGGTGGCTTGGTCGGTTAGGCACCCGACTTCAGCTGAGGTCATGATCTCACGGTCCATGAGTTCGAGCCCCGCGTCAGGCTCTGTGCTGACAGCTCAGAGCCTGGAGCCTGCTTCGGATTCTGTGTCTCCCTCTCTCTCTGCTCCTCCCCCATTCACACTCTGTCTCTCTCTGCCTTTAAAAAATGAATAAATGGGGGCGCCTGGGTGGCGCAGTCGGTTAAGCGTCCGACTTCAGCCAGGTCACGATCTCGCGGTCCGTGAGTTCGAGCCCCGCGTCGGGCTCGGGGCTGATGGCTCAGAGCCTGGAGCCTGTTTCCGATTCTGTGTGTCCCTCTCTCTCTGCCCCTCCCCTGTTCATGCTCTGTCTCTCTCTGTCTCAAAAATAAATAAACGTTAAAAAAATTAAAAAAAAATGGTGATTGATAACCTTTTTTCTACCCCAGCTCACCTCAGTTACTACGGAGGAAGGAGCTATCTTGTTAATCAAGGGACTCTTAACTGGGACAAGAGCTTCACATTAAAAAAAAAAAAACAAAAAACAAAAAACCTTTTTTCTGAAGATTCCTTCACCAGAATAGCGTTTCTCAGCCTCCGAATCACCTGGCAGGGTCCATTGTGAAAAAGCGCATTTCTGGGTCCCCCCCCCCCCCTGTGAACCCTATTGGGGGGGGGGGGCTGAGGGGGTTAGCAAATTCCCCTGTGATTCTTTAGCAGTTAGCTCATGCCTGAGCTTTTCAGGAACTAATACATTAAGAAATATAAATGCTTAAGTTACATATAAATTAGTGTTTAGATGAGTAGATAGAAGATGTATAGGGTGAGGGGATAAAAGTATAATGGCTAAAAGGTGATGTCATTAAGCCCAAACTAAATTCTGTAAGAACCAAAAAGCATTGGAAAGGGCAGTTGAAAAAAAAGGCCATTTAAAAAGTGCCAAAAAGGAAAGCTTCAACAAATGGCCATGGTGGTAGACCACCCAAGACGAACACATGTTCTTTTGAGCATTGTGTGTACTTCCGCTCTGTTTTTGGAGAGCATATACTCTGTAGCAGTGTGCCAGACACTCAGCTCAGCTTTTGACATATGACTCATTTAATTCTCATAGCAAGCCTTGAAATTAGGTGCAAGGATTTTAACAGATGAGAACACTGAGGCATCACCCAGTAGGTGATGGTCTCTGCTCTGGTCTCTGCTCTTGACCATTGTGTTGCACTGCAAATTGTAGAGAATAATTCTATCTTCTCCCAACTTGGTGACCATTGTGGTCGGTCATAACAGCCAACATTTCTGCATTTTAAAACTTATTAAGTTGTTTTGTATAGGATTTTAGAAATGGTGTAATATGTACATTTCTGCAATTTGCTTTTTTTACTCTTATTTTAAAATTTGATCCACATTGACTTATAAACATATTAAAAATTTTTTTTTAATGTTTGTTCATTTTTGAGAGAGAGAGAGAGCACGAGCAGGGGAGGGGCAGAGAAAGAGGGAGACACAGAATCCGATGCAGGTTCCAGGCTCTGAGCTGTCAGCACACACAATACATGATCTTGAGATCATCACCTGAGCCAAAGTCAGAGGCTTACTGACTGAGCCACCTAAGTGCCCCTATATATATAAACATATTTTTAACTGCTGTAAAGTTTTTCATCATGTAACAGTTTATATATAGCCCTCCTAATGGACACTAGTGTTTTGTTTATTTTTTAATGTGTATTTTTGAGAGAGAGAGACAGGGTGTGAGCAAGGGAGGGGCACAGAGAGAGAGAGGGAGACACAGAATCCAAAGCAGGCTCTGGGCTTTGAGCTGTCAGCACAGAGCCCGACGTGGGCCTTGAACCCATGAATCATGAGATCGTGACCTGAGCTGAATTCAGATGCTCAACCGACTAAGCCACACAGGCTCCCCTGGACACTAGTGTTTTTAAGCTTTTCTCTTAATGTCATAATTTGTATCTGTATATGTCTCTTCTGCACATGTTTCTTTAAGGTGTATCCACCTTAAAGGCCTGTTAGGCTTCTTGACTTGAGTATTGCAGGAAACTTTTCTCTCAACTTTGTTAAGGTTGCTTTTATTTTTAACTTATAATTGATAGTTTGTCAGAGCAGCCACAAAATAGTCATTAAACATGTTGACCTATGTTAAAATCTCCATAAAAACTTCTCTTTGGCTATTTCCTGTTCTCAAAACTTACAGAATAAACTCTTTTTTTTAAATTTTATTGTTGGTGGGGAGTGTCCTTGTAATATGATGGTTTCTTAGGCAGTGTTACACCTCCATCATACCAATATCAGATGGCTTTCTATCTGATAAGATTCAAGAACAATCCCAAGGCACCAAAGTGTAGACATTCCTTTTCTTTGCTTATTTTTATTTTGGTAATGTTGTGTCCCATATCAGTATAGGCCTCGGTATTCTAGATGGAGTTTGGTGTAGCATGAATCTAGTCATTGTGGATTGCTCCAGCTATGAATTTGAAGTTACTCTGGAACAAGAATGATTTGGATAAGATTTTGCCCAGATAGAGGAATGAGTCTGAGTTCCGTAGAGGGGTTCTTTGCCCTGGCTGTAATGAAGAGTTGAACTCAAGTTAATTTTACTTGGATTGTCTCCTACTGAAAATCCCTTCTGCATGCCTAGATTCTGAATTACAGTCAGCTATAGTTGAAAGTCTTGGGAATTCTTTTGGGTAGAGGAGGCCATGGAAGGGATAAGATAGCACAGTTTAAAATACAGTTTTGATTATTGTAACTATTAACAAGAATATGTTAATAGCATTATAGTCTGCATCCCCATATTATCCCTTGATTGGTAAATTTTTTTTTTTTTAATTGATCTTATGATTGCATCTCTATACAGCGTATCTCCTTAACAAAACTATAAGCTTTTCCAGTTGAAGGTGATAGTTTTTTTGGGGGGATGTCACAAATCAGGTAATTAAATACTTAGCAGATGGAGGTATAATAATTCCCTATTACCTGATGATATTTGTAGTTTGTAAAGTACAAACAGTAAATAGTCTGAACCTTCCCTTAGTCTGTTTTGTTTAAGTTTGCGAAACAAATTGATAACCAGTGTACACAATAAAGAGGGCAAGAAGACACCTAAGAGAGGAAATATTTGCCTTCAACACATAACACACAAGCACTAATAACCAGAGTATATAGAGAGCTACTACTAATCACTAAGGAAAAAGCCAACACAAAAGAAAAATAGACAACATCCAGACACTTCACTAATCCAGATAGCTAATAAACAGAGAGAGATTAATTAACATCATTAATTATCAGGGGAATATCAATTAAAACTATCAGATGTCATTTATATACTCATCAGATTGGTAAAAAGTCTGATGACTGACTCCTAGGAACAGGAGATCTCCTGCACTGCTGGTGGGGGTGTAAATGGATGCAACCACTTTTGAAAGTACTTTGGAATTGTTTACTAAAAGTGAATGTATGTGCATCAGGAGTCACAGCAGCATCTGCTTCTATTAGAAAAAGTAGAGGGGCACCTGGGTGGCTCAGTGGGTTGAGCGTCCAACTTCGGCTCAGGTCATGATCTCACACCTTGTGAGTTTGAGCCCCGCGTCGGGCTCTGTGCTGACACCTCAGAGCCTGAAGCCTGCTTGTGCTTCTGTGTCTCCCTGTCTCTCTGCCCCTAACCCACTCGCATTCTGTCTCTGTCTCTCTCAAAAATAAATAAACATTAGAAAAAGTAGAAACAAGTCAAGTATCTGTTAACACTAATATAAACAAATTCATAATGTAATCCTACAATGAAAAACTGGTCATGAAAGTGCAGGAACTATGACTGCATGCAACAGCATGGAGGGCTCCTAAAATTTAAGGATGAATGTAGAATGAGCATGACACAAAAGTTTTGTCCAGTATGATTTCCATAAAGATGAAAAATAGACAAAATTATTTAGGGATTTATACACAGATGGTAAATCTGTTTTAAAAATCAGACGATGATTTCCTAAAAAGTTAGGAGATGTTATCTTGAGAGCAGAGAAGAGGAGGTATTAGAACAAGGGAAGGGCCCATGGAGCACTTCAGGAATGCTGACAGTGTTGTTCCCCCACCCCGCTTTTAACCTGCAAGCTGGTTGCGTGGATATTGCTCACCTGTTTATTAAATCTGTTTGTTTACAGGTCATTTATATACTTTATGTGTGTTGTATTTCATCAGAAACTATTAAAAATTCTTAGACCCATTAAAGATAGTTCATGGCCAAAAGGACTAAAGTATTTAAATAAGAAAGAGTAAATAATTTCTTGGATTAAGTACTCAATAGAATGAATTTTTAAGTGCTATAGAATTATGCATATATGTATAAATGTTCAATTATCAGTAATTTATTAACATATTCCTTAATCATTTTTATACTTTTATGTTAGCTTATAGTTACTTCAAATCCTTTCAGGTAGGTTGTGACCCATAAATTAAAAATAAATATTTGTAGTAAATGTAAATTAATGAGAGCGGTCTGTTGGTCCCCTGGCTCCCTTCCTCCCAGATACCCCAAAAGTTATTAATTCCACAATTGATTGTCCACTTGAGTACCCCAAATTATGGAAGCTGTAGCATGTTACTGGGATTGGTATGATAACTTTTAGGTATACAATACGACTATTAATCTTATAATTGTAGTGGGAATGTTCAAAGGTTCTTCACCTTCTGTGTTGTTTGCAAAATTTTGTTATTTTTACTTTAGTTTCTACATTTTTACTGTTTATTTCCTTAAGATAAGACTGCTACTGTTTTTATATCCCAGTGGAGCTTTCTATGGTATAGTATCTATTCGATAAATGTTTATTAAATGAAAAATAAAATTTATTTATGTGAAAACAAACAATGAAGCAAAATGCTCCATTTTGTCTCTTAAATGTTCAGAGTTATAGAATCCTTTCATGCCTAAATATGAAAAGAAAACCCCATCGCTTAGTCCAGTAGTATTTGCATCTGAAACTCTGTCCAAAGTGAGGTTCTGGTTGTTGCATTGGGGGGGGGGGGGCGCGGATGTGGAATTTTATTTAATTTTTTTAATTTTTTTAAGTTTATTTATTTTTGAGAGAGACAAGGAGAGTGAACAGGGGAGAGGCAGGGAGAGATGGAGAGAGAATCCCAAGTAGGCTCTGCACCGTCAGCGCGGAGCCCGGTGCAGGGCTTGAACTCACAAACTGAGTTCATGACCTGAGCCGAAACCAAGAGTTGGACGCTTAACCGACTGAGCCACCCGAGTGCCCCGGAAACTGTAATTTTAAAGCCCTTTGTCTTTCCTGCTCTAATCCTCTAGAGTTTGGGACATAGGAAGTTCTATATTTAGGATATACAGGAGAAAAACATCCTCAAGGAAATGGTCTTGGATTAATATTTAACTATAAATTGATTTTTCTGTGTAAATACTTAATCTGTTCAAAACATAAATGATACTGGAAATGAGAAAGGAGCTTTAAATGTACATTTGGAAGGGATAAAATGAATTTACATTTCTTCATCTCGCAGATAGCATCTCATGTTTTCTTATTTATTTTTGTTCTTCACCATTATGTTATGTGAAGTTTGTGGTATCATATAAAAAGGAAGTGTTCAGTGCATTGCCTAAAATTGAGATGATTAAAAGTTACGTAACAGAAAATTTCCTCAAGATTCTTCTCTTTCAGATTTGCTTTTGTCTATCAGCACATTCTGGACTTCTTTCATCTTAGGCCATGTCAGTTTAATGCCATCTTTGTATCTCTTCTGCATCGGTCGCTATCTTGTGTAAATTTTGTTCTGTTATTGCTCCACTAATTATTCTCAAATTCCATTTCAATCAGATTATTCCCCTTTTTTTGGATTCAGTAATAGACCTCTCTTGCTCAGTCACATCAAATCCAGATTTTTTTATATCACCTCTGAGATCTTCCGATCTAACAAGCCTTCCTTTAAATGAGGCTTTTCTCACTTCCTCACCACACGCATTGTCTACTCCAGCCAGGTGAAGCTAGGCACTATCCTAATTTTCCATTTCCCTGTGTTCATGATTTTCCCTCTACTTCACTCTCCCCTTTATCTTACCTCCTGCTAACCCTGCTTCTGTGAGTCCCCTTCTGGTGACTCATTCTAAACCGATGCCTTCCTTCTTAGGCCTCTAGGTTTTTAACATTTACATTTAATGCTTCATTGTTTGTTTTCACATGAATTAATTTTATCTCCCCCAGAGTAAGTTCTGTAAGCCATCTTTATACCTTTTATAACACAGCTGGAAAACAACTGTTGGTAGGTTGATTTGTTGTTGTTCCCCCATTATTTAAATGTAATATTTGAAACACGCAGAGAATAGATGTAAGTTATAAGGTATAATTATAAAAGAACGTCTCTGCTTCTTGCTCCCTGCTTAGCCCCTGGAGAACACCAGTGTTTGGAATTGTGTCTTACCTCCATTGCCTTTTTAAAATTAATTTTGCAGACATGCATCTATAAAATTTTTGTTTCTGAGGCTTACAAAAACAGATTCATACAGCATGTAATCTGGAAGTTTTTTCATACAACATTATGTTTATAGGATTGATGAATGTTGTTGCATTTGGCTGCACTTTATTCCTTTCACTGTGGTAGAATGATCCGTTGTATGAACATGCTGGTTTATACAACCTGGCTACAGATGTTTGCATTGTTGGTAGTTTTTTGCTATTACAAGGGCTGTGCAGTGAACATTGTTTGGACTCTTTGAGTACACATGTGGAGAGGTTTCTCTAGGGTTTATTCTTAGGTGTGCAGTGCTAGGCATAGGGGATACAAATATTTATTTTTGAAGCCAGTGCTTTATTTTTTTCCGGCATACTTTTCACCTAACAATTTGTTGTTTGTCTCCCAAAAAGGGCAGACTTTTGTTTTGCTTCATTGCAATGTCTTTAGCACCCAGGATTATATTTGACATATAATAAGTAGTTGGTAAATATTTGATGAGAGAATGAAATGCTTTTCAAATTGATCATACTAATTTATACTTTCATCAACAGTGCATAAAGTGCCTTTTGATCCACATCTTTGCCTAGACTTGATATTATCAGACTTATTAATTTTTTTTTTTCCTGGGTTAATCTAGTAAATTTAACATGTTTTCTCACTCTGGGTCTAATTGCATTTTCCCTATTACTGACAAAGTTGAGCATCTTTTTTAGGCTGTTTGATTCTTAGATTAGTGGGGTTTGTTGTTTTTGTTGTTTTTATAACCAGATATTTTTCTTTGCTGTGGCAGGTGGATGGAGAGCTAGAAGCTCTGATGGAGAATGGTGAGGGTCTCTCTGATAAAAACCAGGTGCTCAGCTTATCCCGGCTAATGGTTAGAATTGAAACTTTGGAGCAGAAACTTACCTGTCTTGAGCTCATACAGGTGAGCTCTTTGATACTAATTTGTTTTTTATTTCTGAGTTTGTGGTGGGGCATCTAACTTTAAACCGTTTATTTTTTGTACACTTTTATTTTGCATCAATCAAAACAAAGTTTCTGGGTGTTTTGTGAATATAAACAAAAGTTTTATTCCTCTTTGTGGACCCTTTTTAATGCTGTGTTTGGTATTTCCTACCCCAACCCACCCCAACCCCATCCCAATACCCTGCATCTTGCTTCCCTTCCCCCATGGAAGAACACGCATTCACAGTCTTGCCTGAAGTCCTTTCTGGAACGTCATGGGCTGTCTTTGTTGTGGATCTGGATGGCAGAGCTAGGTGATGGCCGGGAAAGTAACCAGAAGCTTCAAGAAGAGGTCAGTTCACATTCAACTTGCTTGTTTTTTAAAACCACTATATAGATTACTTAGGTTGAGCGATAATATCAGTGGTAATGAATCTAGCACTATATTTACTACTGGTATTAAATAATTTTATTATCTTAGTATCATTCTTGTAACTATAACCTTTACTTAAAACTTGCTAGTAGTGAGTTTGCCCTATGGCTATAGAATCCCTATAGTTGATATTGTGTAGCTGGGAACTGCAAGAGCAAAATACAATATCATAGTTGAGTGAAAGATCTAGTTCGTTGCTAAAGCCATAGTTTTAAACAGATAGGAAGCCATATGAAACTTAAATTCTGGTGTTCTAAAAAATTAGTGAAGAGCTGAATTCTGGATGACCAGAGTAAGAACATTTTGAGGAGTCAATAAGTGTTTTAAAGATCTAAATAAATGTTCATTGCAGCATTGTTAGTGGAGTTGTGATGTTTATACCTCCCCATGAAATAAGCAATATTTTTTAACCTAGTCTAAATGTAGTTCTTTTTAATATAATACCAAAGTGTTGCATGTTACGTATAGAGAGAGAGAGAGATAATACCAAATAATGCACTTTTAAAAACATCAGGAATAAGCAAATAAGTGGTTATCTTGCCTCCATTCTTCTCCCAGGAGATTTGGCAATAAGTAGAAGTTGAGGAGGACTTGGGGTAGGTGGGTGGGTTGGTTGGTTGGTTTCTTTCTTTCTCTCTTCCTCCCTCCCTTCCTCCTTTTTTTCCTTCCTTTCTTCCTTCAAGATCTAGTTGACTTTATTAAATGATTTATGAATTGGGCAGCATCCTATCGAGCAAGTGGAGGGGAACTCCCTATCCTTGGGGTTTCTGTAGGACTACATTAGGGAGTACTTTAGAAGAAATTCTTGGATTTCCGGATGGAGGGGATGATTATCTCTGAAGAGAGAGTCTCATTTTGTTAGATAGCTATTTATCAAAAGCTAAACGAGGTAAGTAATATCTGCATTGTTTTGTGTGTGTATGTGAGACATCATTTAAATATATGTTGTTGCATAGTTCCCAAGCCTATATCACAGTCATTTGGGAAACTTCTTAGAAAAAGATACCCAGGATGAGGTCCACTAGCGTATGTATATATACGTGTGTGTGTGTGTGTGTGTGTGTATACACATACATATACATACACACACACACACGTATATATGTATGTGTATATGTATATGTGTGTGTGTGTGTGTATTTTTTTTTTTTTTTAATCTCAGGTTTGAGAAGCACTGGTGGAGGAT